TTTTTCTTTTTTTTTTTTTTTTTTTTTTTTTTTTTTTTTTTTTTTTTTTTTTTTTGTCTTACTCCTGCCTTTTGGGGTCAGGGATATTTTAAGCAGTTGGAAATTAAACGTGGGTGAATTTCAGTACTCACTGGAACTCCATCCCAATCCTATCCTATATGTTTCTCCATTTTATTATTTTCATTCGTGTCTTCATATTCTTTACTATATTTCTAAATCTCCACGCCTCTACAAGAGGTATTTTTGTTGAGGCTGGTCCCTGACAACCAGTGAATTTGCTTTGGGGAGTTCTAATGGATTTTACATAATTTTATCTTCTGTTTTCTTTAATTTTTAAATTCTGTTTTGTTTGTTTTACAAACCAAGATTTCTCTGTGTAACAGCCCTGGAACTAGCTCTTGTAGACCAGGCTGGCCTCGAACTCACAGAGATCCGCCTGCCTCCTAGTCCTTCCCCCTCCCCTCCACCTTAGTCCCCCATCTACTCCTCAGAGAGGATAAGGCTTCCCAAGTGGAGTCCACAAAGTCTGACACATAACTTTGAGGCAGGACCAAGGCCCTCCCTGTATCTAGGCTGAGCAAGGTATCCTTCCAAAAAGAATGGGTTCCAAAATGCCAGTTCAAGCACTAGGGGTTCCACTGCCAGTGCCCCACAGACTGCCCAAACCACACAGCTGTCACCCACATTCAGGGCCTAGTTTAGTCCTATGCGGGTTCCCCCCGCTGTCCCAGTCCAGAGTCAGTGAGCTCTCATGGCTCAGGTCAGCTGTTTCTGTGGGTGTCCCCATCATGGTCATGACCCTTTGCTCATATTATCACTCCTCCCTCTCTTGTACTGGACTCCAGAAACTCGGCCCAGGGCTTAGCTGTGGATCTCTGTATCTGCTTCCATCAGTTGCTGGATGAAGGTTCTATGATGACAATTAACGTAGTCATCAATCTGACTACAGGGGAAGGCCAGTTCAGGCACCCTCTCCAGTATTGCTTAGGTATTAGCTGGGGTCACTCTTATGGATTCCTGAGAATTTCCCTAGTGCCAGGTTTCTTGCTAACCCCATAATAACTCCCACAATCAAGATATCTCTATCCTCGCTCTCCCTCTCTGTCCTTCCCCCAGCTCAAACATCCTGTTCCCTCATGTTCTGCTCCTCCTTCCCCTCCCCCTCCTTTAATGAAAATATAATTTCATTGCTTTCCCTCCTCCTTTTCTCCCTCTAGGCCTTCCCAACCACCCTCTCTCAAACCTTCCAGTGTTACCCCCACTTTCACATTGATACCTTCTTTTTATTTGATTGTTGTTACAAACTTACATACATGCATATATACATACGTGTGTGTGTGTGTACACAAATATATAAATAGAACTTGCTGAGTCCATTTTTGTTATTGTGTATATGGTTTGAGGGCTAACTACTCTGCACTGGACAACCAATATGGCGGCTCATCTCTATGAAAGGCTTATTTTCCTTTTTCCAGGGCCATTCGTTGCCCAGCGGTGGGACCCCATGAACTGCTCCCCTTTCCATGTTAACATGCCCATTGATGTTGTTGTCATTTCAGCGTTGTTTTATGCAGCCATTTCTGGGAGACACTGTTTTACAAGCAAGCGTCCTCATATTCTGATTTTAGAATCTTTCTGCATCCTTTTCTGCACTGTTCCCTGAGACACAGATGCAGGAGCTGTGATAGAGATGTATCCATTGGGGCTGGGCTCCTTCAGTCTCTTGGTCTCTGCTTTCTGTTCAGTTGTGGGTTTTCATGATGGTCTCCATTTGCTTTAAAGAGAGGCATCTTTGTTGAGGGATGGTAACTATTTTTATGTGGGTAAGCTTAATATTTCTTTTTATCATATGTAAAATCAACTTGATTTCTTCATAAAGTAGTAAAATGTTATCAGTATCAACAATAGCATTTTATTTTCTCATAATCCACCATATTGTATTTACTGTCCGCCACTTTGGCATAGGTACTGTAGCTTAGGTGGAAAGGGAGAAGAATGTTAAGTCACCTAGAGACTAATGTGTGCTATGTTGTAAACAGCAGTAGGAACCAGAGATGGTAGGAACATCAGTATAATCTGAAATGGTGAACACATTACAGAGAAGTTACAATTTTACCAGACCTAAATGGGAATATAAAATTTGGTAAACCTGAAGAGACGGGAAAGGGGATAAGTAGGTGGTATCTACATAGTAGTGAGGAAGTGGGCTCATTTGCGGAAAAGTGGTTGAAGGATGGAAGGTTGAAGGTTTGACAGGCAGCTTAATGCTGCATTAAATAGACACTTGAATATTACAATGACATATTGATACTGTGTCCTGTAACACTGTTACTACTTTTGTAACAGAGAGCTGCCATGTAAGATTTAGTCTTACAGCACCTGACAAGTAAGATAAAAAGTAAACCAGGAGTGAAATCCTTTCAAAGGATGTGTACAATAAGGCTAAGGTACAGAGAGTTTTGAAAGCCAGTAATTTAGAATGATGTGTAAAAATTTCAGCTTGCCCATGTTTTATGTGAAATGGTCAGAGGTCATCCAGTTGTGGTATCATGGGAGATGTGGAGCTGGAGTGGAGATCTGGATTTGATTTTTTTTTTTTTTCGAGGAGACAGCCAAAGGCCTAAGTTAAAACTA